GGGGAGAGAGAAGGCGTAATACACTGACATTTGTCAGTGTATTACGCCAGTGATCAACTTGTGTGTGTGTGTGTGTGGTGGGGATGGAAGGGTGGGGGATTTGTAAGGTTGTGAGTGTGTTTGTGTGGTGGGAGTGTTTGAGTGTGTATTTGACAGAAACAGGTAAGAAGAGAGAGAGAGACAAAGACAGGCTAATAAACACAGATAGAGAGGCAGACAGACAAACAGAGGCAGAGGAGAGAGAGGGAGAGGGATAGAGAAAACAGCAGGGGATCAATGAGAGAGATCCCCCGGGGCTTTCTTTAACTCCAGTTGCTGGATCTCGTCCTGTGCTTCCTGGCTGATGTCGATGCCCCATCTTTTGTACGTCAAGATCAGGTCTCGACCTATTCGCTTACTCAGCACCTTGTAGACATAATCAAATTGATGCTGACTATCTGACACTATGTGCTGAGCCTCCTCCTCTCTTAGGGCGCGAGTGGTTCGATTCAGGTGGCGGAACATTTCCCACCCTGGCTCGGGGAAGGCGTGCTTGATTTCCATCAGGAACACCAGCTTCTGCCAGCAGTCAGCCTCCTCGAATTTCATGCCTTCATCTACTGCCTTCGCCGCCTTAAGATAGTCATTTTGCTTCTTCAAACGGTTTCCTGTGTTTAGCTCTTCCTCTACAAACACGGAAAACAGGTTGACAGTAGATTCGCTGCCGTAGACGTTAGACCAATAGGGTCCCTGTTGATAGTTGTGGCCCATTTCGTGGCTGATGACCCAGTGGTGGGGCGTATCGAGGGAGGTTAGGTCATAGTATTGCCGATCAAACATCACTGGGAACCCTGCGTGCGCGCTGCCACAGGAGATCTGGACGTCCTCGACCAGCCAGTATTTACCTCTTGGTGGGGGGTCTGTGTCTCCGAAGCCACAGAGGTCATCCATCTTCTCCATGACGCGGTCGTATCTCTGCATAAGCTTCTGAGGGTCGGTGATTTTGCTGGCTGCTGTCGTAGGGATGACGAAGACGAAGCGGCCGCTTTCCAAAACAGAACTGGGTGCATGCAGGTACTTAGACCTGTTCCATATTTTATCGGAGGTCGTGCCAAGTCTATAATACGGAGCTGCTATCACATTTTGCACTTCAACTTTGGTCACAAAATTGTCCCCTTCCTCAAACATAAAAATCAGGCTTCCACCAAACTGGCTTCTAAGTGAATTAATTCCAGGGAAGACTTCGAACACGTCAGTAACGACTGGCATTCTCTTGAACTTTCTCTGATCCGACACATTGGTCGAATGAAGATCAAGGCAGTCACAATGCGCGCCGACCCGCACTTTGACCTGATCTGCTTGTTCGGGCGGTAAGTCGTCAGGCAGAATAACCTGGAAGACCTCTCCAGGAACCACGTAGAGATCCGTAGCTTGCCAGTCTTGAGGGACCGTCATGCGCAAGTTCTTCCTCTGCCCGAGCGTCGAGAGGTCCAGCAGGAGGGTTTTCCTCAGCCGGGGCGTCGCGGCGTCCACTGCACCTGGGAAAGTTTGTACGTCACGGGGATAAGGAAGCGGTTCTGTCACGGGGGTCAGTCTGTTGATTATTTCTCGCGCAGTCTCTTTCTTGTAGAGAGTCAGGCTGGATGGAGGAAATGGGTAGAGGCAATGGCCAATCGAGTCGCAGAGTTTCGAGAGCTTCCACCACCTCTGATTCTCCCGTCCATTTTTTGGCCACATGATGGCTTTCGTCCTCGGGATTTTCCACGGAACGTCTAGCGCGTGCGTCCCCGTCGAGAGCACTCCGCTTTCGTCAAGCGTCCACTCCACCGACGAAGCCGCACACTCAGCGAGTCTGATACTGAATTTTTCTAGGTCCACCTCGAGGCAGTAAGCAAGATCACCTCCCCAGAGCAATCTCTTGTCCTTCAAAAACCACCGTTGCCTTGGACTGCCTGTGTAGGACTCCAGCCCGACAACGGCATCCAGAGGACTCGATCCTGATGTGACCGCCAGGCATGTCAGGCTACTTTGGTTAATGAAAACGTCCGGTTCTGCTTCTTCCTCGCAGCTGCTTTCAGTTGTCTGACTTGTTTCGCTGCTGCGGCCTGTGGAAAGTGCATGAGTAACTACAAGTCTAAAATGATCAAAGACCGTGTTTCTCTTTTAATGTCTTACGTGATTTTACGTCTTTCGTGGAATAAGATACAGATCGACAACAAAATATAGTTTATTATTCACAATATTTCACCAACCAATTCTGTCATCTGATACAGAAATTTCAATGCTTGCTTCCTTTCTTAATGATAATATGTTACAAATAATAATTAGAAAAATAACTACATCCTTTTGGTATTCAAGACCACTTACGGTTAAATTTCTGGATGGTGTCTTGCCATTGGGGACCTAAAATGTCGATAATCATTCCGTTTATGGGCTCTTCCGCCACATTCAGGTGCGCCTTCAGTGTAGACAGCGTCCACCACTTTTGGTTGCTCCCTTCGTGCTTCGGCCACAGCCCAAC